TCTATTCCCGCCTGCGGCCTAGGTCCCGCCCCCTTCGTTGTTCATTGGTTGCTGCTGGCACGAGACCAACACAAGCGACAACCAATGGGAGTGGCCCACGGCGCGTCTTTCCCGGGAAAGCAGGCGCAGACTCGTGAACCCGGAAATGAGAGAGATGGACAAGTGACGAAAACCAATCCCCAGCGATGAGGGAGGCGGGATGTCCAATGGCCGGTCGTCGGGGCGGGGCCAAAAGGCTGGCGTCTGTGGAGGTTCCGAGAGCCCGCGGCCCTGGAGTCCTGAGAGCGCGGGGAAGGCGGCGGGAGGGTCCGGCGACCGCGCGTGGTGAGGAGGGGGGCAAGCCTGAGAGGCTCAGAAGAAGCGAGCCGGGGAGGGTGCTGCGGGGTCGCGATCCCTGGGCGGGGCTCGGACAGTAACCTTAGACCAGTCCGCTCGCCTCCTGGGCCTCAGTTTCCTCCTCTTGAGAGAATCGAGAGGTGAGAGATTTGCACTCCTTTCCTGCATACAACCTTGGCACCGAGGAACTCCTCTTTGCCTTAGCAGCCCGGTCGAGGAGCCTGTTCCTCGGGAAGCCGGTCCAGAATACCTGAACCCTCACAGGACGCCTAGCGCACCCTCCTCGAGCACACCCCAAACCGTTTCAGATGTTCTGTGGCAACGAGTCGGGCCCCCGCTTAAGACTCTAAACCTTGTGATCAGTCAGGCATTTCTAGGTCAGGAGCAGCCAGAGCAGGTGCACAGGCCCTGCTCAGTAAGAAGGCAGTGGTTAAGACCTGGAGACTCTGTGCTCAGACGCACTTGGGTTTCGTTTCTGACGCCCATGTTTTACCTCCTCTGGGCCTTCTGGAATTTAACTTACCCTGTCTATCTCGGGGTAGCTCTTCATAAGGGAGTGGCATGAGGGTTAAGCGACACGATGTGTAGCTAACACTCAGCTCCCCGCACATCATAGTTGCTCAATAAATGCTTATTGTTAGCATATGGTGTTTGCATACCCAGCCCCTCCACTCCCATGGCCAGCCCCAGGCGTTGCTACTAAAGCTGAGTGGCCATCACTCTGGCTCACAGCCCAGGTTTCTTTCAGGATGCTTGGACTGCTCAGCCTCTTAGGGTCTCTTCTGGACAACCTAGGCAAAGGAGGCCAGAAGTCAAATCGTGGGCTTGTGGCTAAATATCAGGGTGAGGGGAGGAAGAGGTGCCTACCCATGTCCTAATGAGTCTACCCAACAGTTGTGTTTATCCAAGTATGGGCTTCAGAACTTCTGGGGCTGATCTGGGTGTGTTAGTCAGTTATTTGTGCCCCAAACACCCAGTGTTTGGTCAGAGGCCGTGGAAGGGGGGACATTAGAGCCATGGAGCCGGGGAGTCCTGAGTTTATGTCCTAAGGCTGTCACTTGCTCACTGGGTTACTTCAGGCAAGGGACGTCACCTTTTTGAGCCTGTTTCATCTGCAGAGTGGGGTGATGACAGTAATCATTTCCTCAAGTTGCTGTTGAAGACTGCAAGAGATAAGATACGAGGTTACTGGCTCGGCACCTATAGCTCAACCGGCTAAGGCGCCAGCCACCTACACCTAAGGTGGCGGGTTCGAATCCCCAGCCCGGACCTGCCAAAACAACAATGACGGCTGCAACCAAAAAATAGCCGGGCGTTGTGGCGGGCGCCTGTGGTCCCAGCTACTTGGGAGGCGGAGGCAGGAGACTCGCTTGATCCCAAGAGTTGGAGGTTGCTGTGAGCTGTAATGCCACGGCACTCTGCCCAGGGGGACAGCTTGAGGCTCTGTCTCAAAAAAAAAAAAAAGATACAAGGTTACTGCTTAGCACAGGACCTGGCATGTACTAGGTGCTCAATAAATGTCAGGCAGAGACAGCAAGCCTTTGCACAGGCACACTGCACTGTGGGTGGCCCTCATCCTTCTAGGCCAGCCCCACATCTAGTTGTACTCCTTGCCTTCCCTTCTCCCTACACCATCCCCAAACCGTCTCTAGTGAAATAAAGGTGTGATCTGTCTCCCCAGCTGAAGTCACACTGTGTCCTAAATGTGTTCGTTTTGTTGCCTCTTCTCTTTCAACTTGGTTCCTCACAGATCCTGCTTCTCTCAGCAGCCTACTGTGGACATGTGCAAGAGCCCCACCCTTTAGTCCAGATGACGCTAGTACCAATGGCTTCAGTGATGGCAGTGTCTGAACCAAAATGGGTCTCGGTCGGGGGCCGCTTCTTGTGGGTGACGCTGCTGAGCATGGTGCTGGGGTCTTTGCTGGCCCTGCTGCTGCCTCTGAGTGCCATGGAGGAGCAGTGTTTGGCAGTGCTCAAAGGCTTCTACCTGCTCAGGAGCAAACTGGACAGAGTGCAGCATGCTGTCACCAAGTGTACCAGTCCATCCACGGAGGTCAGTGTCACCTCCAGGGACGCTGCACTGCTACTGGTCAAGACCAAGGCCTCTCCAGGTGAGAGAGACTCTCATTTCAACGGTTGTTAATTTGACAGATAACTATAGAGCATCTGCTATGTCCTATGTGTAAGATGCAAGGACATTGTGGTTGGAATTAGTCAGCCCTGAACTCTCAGCCTAGACAAGCTGACAGGTGTGAGACAAATGTGAGTCTACTGATTGGGAAGCACAAAGGTCTGTAGAGAACACCAGGTGGACTTCCTGGAGGAGGTGACACCTAAGCTTGAGACCTGACTATTAAGTAGAACTGATCCAAGGAGAAAGCCATGAGAGGAAGAGAAAGCCTGAGGGGGGGGGGGTTATTCAAGGAACTAAAGAAAGTTGAGTGTGGCTGGATGGCACCAGATAGCACAGGGACAGGAGGGCTAGAGCAGACACTCCACCTCCATAGGGAGTTCTTTGTAGTGGGGGCTGACAGATATGAGCAGCAGCCCTAGCTTCTTCCCATGAGATGATGGTAGCACCACCACGCCCCAGTTATAACTACATTATGTCTCCAGACATCTCCAGATTATCTCCTGAGGGGCACAGTTGAACCACTGGGTTAAAAGAAAATGAAAAAAGTACAGGGATGGTGAAGCCCCCAGGACTAGCAAAAGTGGGGAACACCCATAGGCATGAAGGGCCAGAGGCAGGGACTAGAATCTTAGAGATATAGAACTCACCTGTCAGGAGTTATATGGCCAGAGGGGATGCCAGTCGCTATAACAGCACAGCAGGGAGGCCAGGGATTGGGGGAGGGGGGTAAATGCCCAGACCTTTCCAGGCAAAGGAACCCAGGGTACAGAGAATGGCTTTGGGGACACTGAAACAGTGTCTAGCATACCAGCTACAAGGCTGTGGGGAACGGTGGTTCCAGGCATGTTGACCAAGGACAGTGTGGCTGGAACAAGCCCCACAGGGCCAGGGGCTAGGAGGCCAGCACAGGTAAGCTCCCCTGAAGCCACCCCTTGCCTCCCTGACTGCCTCTCTGACTCTCTTCTAGCTGGTAAGTTAGAAGCCAAAGCAGCTCTGAACCAAGCACTAGAGATGAAGCGCCAGGGTAAGCGGGAGAAAGCCCAGAAGCTCTTCCTGCACGCCCTCAAGATGGACCCGGATTTCGTGGATGCACTCAATGAGTTCGGCATCTTCTCCGAAGAAGACAAGGACATCATCCAGGCAGATTACTTGTACACCAGAGCGCTGACCATCTCACCCTACCACAAAAAAGCACTAGTCAACCGGGATCGGACGCTGCCACTTGTGGAGGAGATTGACCAGAGATACTTTAGCATCATTGATAGCAAAGTGAAAAAGGTCATGTCCATCCCCAAGGGGAACTCGGCACTGCGTAGAGTCATGGAGGAGACCTACTACCATCACATCTACCACACAGTTGCCATTGAGGGCAATACCCTCACTCTCTCAGAAATTAGGCACATCCTGGAGACCCGCTATGCCGTGCCAGGGAAGAGCCTGGAGGAGCAGAACGAGGTCATCGGCATGCATGAGGCCATGAAGTACATCAACACAACCCTGGTGTCCCGCATTGGGTCCGTCACCATCATCGATGTGCTGGAGATCCATAGGCGGGTGCTAGGCTATGTGGATCCAGTGGAAGCCGGTAGGTTCCGGACGACACAGGTGCTGGTAGGACACCACATCCCTCCCCACCCTCAGGATGTGGAAAAGCAGATGCAGGAGTTCGTGCAGTGGCTCAACTCTGAGGATGCCATGAACCTGCACCCAGTTGAGTTTGCAGCCTTAGCGCATTACAAACTCGTTTACATCCACCCTTTCATTGATGGCAACGGGAGGACGTCCCGCCTGCTGATGAACCTGATCCTGATGCAGGCAGGCTACCCGCCCATCACCATCCGCAAGGAGCAGAGATCTGAATACTACCATGTGCTTGAAGTTGCCAATGAAGGTGACGTGAGGCCTTTCATTCGCTTCATTGCCAAGTGTACTGAGACTACCCTGGATACCCTGCTTTTTGCCACAACTGAGTACTCGGTGGCCCTGCCAGAAGCCAAACCCAACCATTCTGGGTTCAAGGAGACGCTTCCTGTGAAGCCCTAACCTTATAAATTCTCCCTTGAAGACAAGTGCTGTCCTGGGGAGGGAAGAGTCAAAGAAACTTAGCATTTCTAGAAACTTTTCCCAAAGCAAAAGGAAACCTCCCAATGTTTTTTGTTTTAGTTAAAAGAAAAAAAAAAATCTAAATTATTAAGCCTTACCTTCTAAGATAATTTATAAGCCAGCCAAGCTATTTATTTTCTTTTGAGCAAGCTAGTACTGTATAGTGTTTGCTGCATCTGTGCTGGGGGCCACTCTTCAGGTGGTGGCCCCAGCGTACTTTAGAGGCAGTTCCCCGAATGAGGAGAACACAAGTTCAGGAGCAGAATTTGCACTAAGGTGGAAGGAGAGGCATGTGTCAGGGCACAGAGCCAGAAGCGTAGCTTCTGTTAAGTCTCTGAAACTAGGAGAGTGGTTCTGTGACTTTTAACTGGGCTTTTAACTGGGAAGTCAGCACTCCTGCAGAGAATCTGATCCCAGTTGGTCCCAGTTTTGAGACTGACTTACACTGATAGAGCAAGCTTTTGAGACAGGGTAAATTGGTTGGATACCTTGCTTATTTTCAAGAAGACTCTGAGCCATAGTTAGTTTGCAAACTTTACGCTATTCTTCCATAACAAAACTATTTTTCTAATTGAGAATGGGGGGTTGGCCTGCTTGGTTTTCTGTGTATCCTGACTTATCTCTTGCACTTCATTTGCAGCAACTCAGACACGTTTTATTGTAGTCTAAAAATTCACAGGGCTTGTCACCCAACACTGTACCATGCTGCAAATCTGGTATTATGCAAGTGGGCAAGTCTGTCCTGACCTCCAGCTCTGAGTTTTCTGTTAGTAGATGTTAAAAGACCATACTGAAGAAAAGCCACATCAACACCAAATAAACATTTCTGATAATGAATTAGAGTGCCAGTTTCTACTGAACCAAATAAAAACTCAACCACAGCCAGGATGTTTCCCTTCTGTCATGCAGTTACATCCACTTATTGCCCGGACCCCCAACTTCCATAGCCATTGTACTGTCCAACATCCTCTTGGGGATGCAGAAGAGATTGCCTCAGAGTGGCCTTGTTTTTCTAGCAACTTGTAAATTGATACATTATGTGTAATATGGCCAGGTTTCCAAGTGGTCACCTTACTGTAATAGAATCTTCCCTTTCAATCATAACTGGCACGTGTGCCAACCTGACTGCTGCTATTTAGTCAGAACAGCCAGATCATTGGGTCTGTTACCCAGTGACAGAACCCACGGTGTCGAACACTGCACTTTGTCACTGCTTACATGATGGTGAATACAAAGTGTTGTCTGTCTGAGGATTCAGTTCCTCACAGTCATAAGGTCATTCCTCTGATGTAGTTAAGTATAGCACAGTGTACGTTCTGGAAGGTTAAGAAGAGTAAGTGTAATAATCTATGAAATGGCTCCAAGTGAATTCAAACATTAAAAAAAAAAAGAAATGTTTTCATACTATCATGCTGCCAGAAGGTATTTCTTAAACTTCAACTCTTGGTTTCCTAAGGACACCAGGGAAAGCTGACACAAGTACTTGCTTTGTACTATAGAGTGAGAGAATGTGCACTTTAACTGTATGTAAAGGGTATTATTTTAACAAAATTACCAGTTCTAATAAAGTATTTTATTACATAAGTGTCTGAGACTTAGCTGTTTTATTTAAGAGATGTTCCTATTTATCATAGGAGGAGTCTGAACTTTATCCTGATTCTTTATATTATTCTGGGAGAAAAACAGAGCCAAGATGGCAATGAGACAACTAGTTGTGTCAAGTGCCTATCAAGGTTGAGAGGGATGAATTTCTACTGATTTTTACTAAGACTCAAGTAACTGAAATGTTATTTTTTTATGTTTCTATTTACCTTAAGTTCTGGATTTTAAACAATCATGTTCCTAAAAATCCATTCATTTCTAGAAGAGTTACCACCATGAACCTAAATGGGGTCCTGCTCAAGTCTGAAAAGGCTCACCCCTCTAACAAGCTTGTGCTGCTATCTGAAAATAAAGGTCAGATTATTAGCCAAAAGCAAGAGAACCAAACAGTTGATGTGAAGCAGCAGAAATGAAAGCCAGTTAACCTAAAATAAGGAAATCATGACTCTTAAGGTGTTGGTCCAACCATCAGGGCTCCCTCCGAGCCACCCAAACCATCTCATCAACTGAACAGGCTTCCCAGTGGCCCCACAGCAGAAATGCATGTTATACGTGCTAATGGCTGTGCATGAATTTAATCCAGAAGTTAATCCCTGGTAAACAAGTAGTTTGTGTTTAAAAAAAAAAAAAAAAAAGTAGATAAGCTACATTTTAAAAGACTTAAGAGGCTACCAACCAATGATAATTTATGGGAGGAAAAATAACATTTATTGGACAATAGGAAACTGGAAATTTAGATGGTTGGTGACATTAAGGAATTATTGCTAATGTTTGTATGGGTGATGATAAAACTATGACTCCTCGTAAGTCCTTCTCTTTCTAAGACATGCTACATTCCCAGATGAGTGCCATGGGATCTGGGATCTGCCTCAATATATAACAGAAGAAGGACAGATGAGACAGAAATGAAGGAAGAAGGGCTGTGGAGCTGAGGATTGCTGACTGCTCAATGGTAGGCACACAAGTTTACTTTTTATCATTTTAAATTTTTCCAATAAAAATGTTAAGTTATAAAATACAGAAAATGCCTAATTGATGCACAAAAACTTAACCTTACAAAATATAAATGAGGAGTTAATTCTCATGACATATGAAAGGATTCCCTGATGTCTTTCTCCAACTGTTTTTTTGTAAGGAGAGGGTTTCCCCTACTGAATTGGCAATACTGCTTCAAAGCAATAAATTTGATAGAAGAGGAGAGGTAAAAAAAAAAAAAAGAAAAGCTTAAAAGCTAGCGTTGAACTGCTGTAAAACAAAGTTTAAAACTGAAGACACATCACAGCTAAAATAATTTAAATCAAAGTGACAATGGAATTTGACTTACAAAAGTTCTATTTACATAACTATTAGGTATAGTAAGGTACACCCACTTCAAAATACTTCCACAAGTGAATGCACATCTGAGTACCATTTGTCAAGAAGTTTGTAAGAAAATTCAGTTACAAACAAAGCTAAAAGCAGAGAAATTTGCACTTAGACGTGGTATTGAAACAAAATCAAAGGGCTGGAACTCAATGTTTAGACAAAGAACACAGTTCACTAATCACTAGGCAAAGAAAATGGCCCACAGCAATTGGCATAGAGAATTCCTATATAAAACAAATGTCACAAACAATTTGCTTTTAGGAAACAAAACAGCTTGATGTGTCATTTACAAATATAGAAAAAAAATGCACAGCCCCTTTAAACAAAAATCCATCAAATGTTTTTTATGAGCTTTTCCCTCCCATCCCCCCTCCCCATAGGCCATTCTGGTGAATTACTAGCATCTGCCTTTCATCTTTTAAAATTAAGAGAGGGGCACATGTGCTGTGTAGGGTGTAGGAGAAGTGTCTTACAAAAGGGGGCCAGAGCTGGCTGAAAACACTTGGACAAGTGCGTCTCAAAAACTCTGTGTTCCAGTTTCACTTCTACTCATCCTTTAAGACACAATATTATCTTAGGACAGTATGTCCTGGGCCCAACTGTAGTGATCACTTTCCTCCTGTTGCCCTCAATATGAGGGAGCACCGAGAGCCTCTACCTGGAACACCCTTTCCCTTTCTGTCTAAACCAGAGGGAAGGTGGTGGTAGCGAGTGAGCGCTGCGCTGGGCCAGCTGTCCCCAGTGCTTCGCCATGTGGCGGGTGGTCTGCCAGGCCAGTATGAAATAAGGCATTTCCCGTCTCTCCCAGAGTCCCATTCACTTTCTCAGAAGCAACTTAGCAAAATCAGCATTGGACATCTTGGGTGCCTCCGTGGTTGCTGAGGTGGTGACTGCTGGTCTCGGGGCAGGGCCATTCTCGGCCTGAGGAGTGGCACTCGGGCGCTGCAGAGCACGAGGCAGCAGAGAGAGCTGGGTCCTCCCCTTCCCCCGCCTGGAAGACAAACACTGAGTATACCTTCACAGCAGGGACTCAAGGGCCCTCACTTACATGTGAAAATAAGCCAAGAGAGTTTTAAATTGCCCCAAATTCAAAGATAAAAGACAAGAAAGATGAGATAAACCCAGTCTTCTTGATCCTGGCTATTAAGTAAAATCCACCTCAATAAACTTTTCTGGTTTAGGATTTCGGCAAGGACTAACCCACTGCAACAGTCACACTCAGGGTGGACAAAAAACAGTCATCTCTCAGACCAAATGGCCTTGTTCTCACCCCTATTAGGTGAAGCATAGCTTTTACATGGATTTTAGCTGGGGCTATAAACTGGCAAGCAAATGGTTATCAGGTTTTGTTTTAAACACACAGATTCACCTGGCCAAAGAAATTTTAAAATAATCACTGCCTGAGAAGAGTTTTACCTTCAATAAATGTTTAGGCAAACAGCAGGCAGGATCTCACCTCCCGAGGTTGCCCCATTGAAATAGCAGACCCTGGCTTCTGTGTCCTAACTGCAAACTAATTCATCCCTGGTTTATTCCTCCATAATCCATGCAGTGGTGCTGACCAAGACAAAACTGCGGGGCCAACATACAAACACTTACGCTCCATATAACTGCCGTGGCACCATGGAACCACCTGGTGCTTTCCTCGACTCTGGCTTCTCTGGAACTTTCCTCTGAGGGGGATTGCTGATTGCCACCTTAATGACGTTCTCTTTGATAGTCATGCCATCCATCTTCAGTACAGCCTGTGACGCCTGGGATTCATTTTCATATTCCACGTAGGCCAGGCCCTGAAAGCAGCAAGATCCAAAGCCAGGTCAGGTGGTGCAGACCCAGGAAGTAGTTTCCTCAGAGAGGCAGCAGCCCAGCCTAGAGCAGGCACCCTGCAGCATGTCCCTTCCTACCTGCTACCAACCTATCTATGGGTGTGCTTCCCCACACACTATCTTCCCTACTGCTGTTGCCGATTTAACTTCAGATAATCTTTCCAGGCTAAGCAAACCTTGTGCTTGCTCCAGAAGAAAAAAAGACAGACCAGTATAAACGCAGCAAACAGACTGACTAAGAAAGCAGCCCAGATGGCCCTGATGCCTTCAGTCCTACCCTCAATTCATACTCTTCGGCTCTCGAGAAACTGGCTAAGGGGAGGGAGAAGGGAAAGAAAGGAAGGACAGGAACAGAGGAGAGGCTGGAGACCCTACAAGAAGGGCCTGGGACAGAGAAGAGGGTGTGGGAGGGCACACCCCACCAAGGACCATGTGCCACTGGCCACAAGTCTACTCCAGGCCCCACAGCCAGGGGCCCACATCATGACTCCTATGATTTTATATTTATTCATTTTCCAAATACCTTATTCTGTTTTAGTACAATCAGCTACAAACAGGTTAATATGACTCCATCTTTCCATTGATTTACCATTGGTCTCTGAGCAGAACAACAAGGAGCCACTCTAGAGCTAAATAATCTCTGAACAAACGTAGACACTAGGTTTGCTGGAGTCTCAAAGACTAAGCACCCTCTGCTCCATCACTGACCTTTGGTTTGCCAGCCCGGTTGGTGACCAGTCTGAGGTCCTTCACAGTGCCATGAGTCTTACAAATTTCTTCTAGTTCCTCTTTAGTGCAGGAGAAAGGCAGGCCTGAGATGAATAGCTTGTGTTTCTCCAGGGCAGTGCTGTATCTGAACACCTACAGGAGACAGGGAGAGAAAACCCACAATTCAAGGCACCAGCCTCGACCACAGGAACACAGCCCAGCCAGGAAGACCAGGCTCTGAGACTTATTAACGAGACTACTGAGCATAAGTCATTGAACCTCTATAGGCCTGCATGTCCTCCTATGTAAGATGGCAAGAATAAAAGCAGCCACCTGCAGAGTTTGGTGAGGAGTCAATGATGGAATACATAAAAAACACTGACCACAGTCCCTGGTCACTACTAAGCATCCACTGGAAATAGCCATTATTACAATGCCCAATTTTATTAGGTTACTAAGTCAACTAACTGACCTTGGAGTGACCAAGCCATGAGTCAGATCTCACTCAACCAGCACAGGACAGACCTCGGCTCACGTGCAAGTTTAATTCCTAACAGAGCATAAAAATTCAGTGCATGTTCTAAACATTAGTGCTATAGAAAAAAATGTTTCGTCTGCCTAAAGCAATCCTTTGAAAGGCATTGTCTTTTTCATAAACATACCTTAAAATCAGGGTTTTTGCTCTTATCCACACAGGGGGAAACAAACATGGGCCTCCCTTCTACATTCTTCCGGTCCAACTCCAGTGCCTGAAGGGCTGATTTCTCTTCTTTAAATTCCACATAGCAGTAGCCTCGGAAATCCCCACGGTTGCTGAAGATGGGGCGGATCTCAACCACCTCCCCACAGGCCTCAAAGAGAGGCTTGAGCTTCACGTCGGGCTCTCCCATGCTATAGGGCAGGTTGCTGACAAAGACAGTGATGCTGTCCTTACTGCTGTCATGGGGCACTTTGGGCATATCCCTCTTCAGGGCAGCCGCCTTGTCCTTCTGCTTTGAAGGGGGGTCGACGTTTACAGATGCATGTCTCTCAGCAGGCCCTATCTCCACTTCTGCGCCTCGGGTTTCTCCAGAGGGAGGGACACTGTTCTCTGTTCTTCTTCGTTTGGAAGGCTGCTCTACAGGTTTTCAAAAGAAAAGCAGCAACCATTAACTGTCTTTTCAGTGAGTTTTAAATGGAGGTGGGAAGTGAAAATGCCCTTCCACGGCTCACTGTACCAGCTACATGTGATGGTACTCTTCTGGGAGGCTGAGATGCAGGCGCCACACCCCTAGTAAGTCTTGGTGACTCTCTTGACCTGTCCCATAACTTTCAGGGCCCCCATTACATTCAAGTAAAGGGGCTAAACCAAGTGGAAGTAACAACATAAATCCCCATTGTCCACTCTTAAATAGACAAAAGGTCAGATGGCACATTCCAGGGCCTCCTCATACAAATCCCAGGTCACAACAGGTGGGATGGGACCTGAGAGTCTTCAGTGAAATAAGTAAGCGACTAATGTTCGAGCTCCAGGAGCCACACTTTAGAGAGCACTACCAAGGGAATGTTTTCTAAAATACTATCGATATTGTCTTGTGTCCTTCTAGAGAACAATAATAATATTCTGCTCCAGCATGTTTACAACCCTGGCCTCAGAGGGCCAGTACTGAAGCCCAACCTCCGCCAGTCTCCATTATTCACCTGCTGCCCTTCTAAAGGAGTGTGACAAGCCCTGCAAACTGCTCCACTGCATTCAAGAGCATCCCTGGGAGGGGCCTGGCCCATCCACCTGCTGCTCCAGCCTCCTTGGCTCTCTGCCACGCACCTGAGCTCAAAACCAATGACCTACTGCTCATAGAAATGGGGGACGACCTGTGTCTCATGCTTTGTCAACACTGGCGCTCCATCCTGCTTGCTTTCCCTTCTTTCGACTCCCCTGGATGCCATTTCACTTCTCCCACCAACTCTTTCTGGCAAGGAGCTGAGCCACCAGTGCATTCTTTGGCCTCCACCACACTTCACAACTCCATCTCCCAAAGTCCAGACTGATTACATTCCACTACAGTCACACACCACATCTGCCTTACCCTGCTAAACTTGATCAACCTAACCTAATCACAAAGGTACAAAGACACACCCATACTGAGGGACCCTCCACAAAGTAACTGGCCTGTCCTCTTCAAAAGTTTCCAGGTCACTGTAGTCCAAAAAAATAAGAAGAAAAAAGAATGAGGAATGTTGCAGACTGAAGGGTATTCAAAAAACAACTAAACACAACCCTGGACCCTGAGCTGGATCCTTTCACTATAAAGGACATCACTGGACTGGCCACGAATGGAGACTGGAGGTTCAATGGCAGCAATAGGGCAGTGTTAATCCTGACTTTGATGATAGCCTGCCGTCAGAGAGAAGACCCTGTGTGTAAGGCACAAACCAGCAGCTGTCCAAGGGTGATGGATGGCGACTTATTCTCAAGCAGTTCAGAGGAAAAAGGTCTTTGCACTGTTTCGGCAACCCCCCTTAAGTTTGTGATGTCTCAAAATACAATTTCTAAAGAGCCACTTACCTTCTTCATCAGCACCCCACTCTTTCTCATCTTCCTCATCTGCTCTGTGCTTATCTGCGCCTCTGGGCTTTTTCTTCTTTTTCAATGCTTTCTTCTCAGCCCGGGCCCGCTTGCGCTGTTCAACCTTTTCTTCTTCTTGCTGCGCAAGGGCAGCTTCCTTCTCTGCAGCCTAGGGAAGTGGGAATGTGATGCTTTGTTACCTTCCCTGCACTGACTTGTGAAGAAAGGGGAGAGGGAGTGAAAATTCATTACCCAGATGAAAAGAAGGATCAGGAGGAGAATGGGGAAGACAGGCTCACACTCTCCCGACACCTGGGCTCAGGCCAGCTCCTTAGGATTCTAGATCTCAAGTCTACCGTATGCTTAGCAATATCCTCACCTCAATGATTAACCACCAAAAGAGAGAAATCTATAAAACTGTGGCCCTGATTAAGTTGGGAGTGTTCATGTTCCACTCTCTGTGCTAAGAGAAGAAGTTTCAAAGACTTCAAATAAATGTCATCATTACCTTCATTCTCTGCTCATTAACACGAGCTAATCGAGTTTCAGTTTTCTGAACAGCTATATCCCAGTCTTCTAAAGTACCTTGATAAAAAGAGAAGCAAAACTTTCATTCGTAGGTTTTTGAAAGACAGAACATAAAACTTGCTTAATTTCTCTACACCTCTAGAAGAGATGTCCCCCATCAACAAGATCTGAAGAGTAGGCTCTTCATTTTCAAAAGTTTAATTCATGTAGGCTTGAAGTTTAGAATTGAAATAGTCCTCCTAAGTATATTTAAAATGACCCTTCTGGGCGGCACCTATGGCTCGCTCAAAGGGGTAGGGCACTGGCCCCATATGCCAGAGGTAGTGGGTTCAAACCCAGCCCCAGTCAAAAATAACTGCACAAAAAAAAAAAGTTCTAATGGTCTTCGGCTCAAGTGGCTAAGGCGCCAGCCACATACACCTAAGGTGGCGGGTTCAAATCCAGCCCGGGCCCGCAAAACAACGACGGCTGCAACCAAAAAATAGCCAGGCATTGTGGAGGGTGCCTGTGGTCCCAGCTACTTGGGAGGC